GTGCAACTTTTAAATCAGGTAAATACGAAAATCGATGATTGATATTAAAATCGCGTGAATAAAAATCGAGATATTTGCAGAGTCTGGACTTGTGATTTCTAAAAGGCTTGTTTGTATTGTTTTTGTTTAGACATAATAAATAAAAATTTACAAGATTAATTGAATGAGCAAATAAATAGTTTCACCGCAAATCCACCTCTATTTTCCCCTCTTTTTTTGTTTGTTTTCACGCCAGAATACAAGAAGCAGCGACGTCTGAATTACGAAAATACGAGCTATCCAGCCGACGGATAAAAAATACGGAAAATCTTATTTTCTGCGCGTGAAATCGGAGAAAATAGCTAAAATAAGTAGAAATGCGGAAGAGTTAGCAGCTAGGGCGTAGATTGAATTTTCTGTTTATCTTTGAAAATCGTAAATAAATATAATTATTTTACTTCAATGACTGAATTTAAAAAAAAAACGGGATATTTATTAGAAAAAACCGAACTTTTAGAGAATCGGAGTTTTTGATTAAAAGGCTGAATTTCGAGAGACAAAAAAAATCTCATCCCTGTATAACGGTCAACCAGTTTTATCCCAAGGAAATGATTTTTAGAGAAACTTCAGAGGGAGGAAAAGGGACTCCAATAATTTCCATCCGCGGAAAATTAAATTCCTCATAAAATATTTTAACTTGTGCAAAAAAAAATTTCAGCGGAAATTAGCGGGAAAAATCTGAAAAAAAAAGCGGAAATCCGCGAAAGAATCTCATCCCTGCTTCTTAAATTAAAGTGAGGGGGCGAAGAATATACTCCACCCCTTCTGAAATTCAGACATTCGCAGGGATAAAGTCAAGTAAAATTTATATTTAACTCTTATTTTCGACTTTAGAGCTATTTTCCAAATCGAAAACTTTATTTTCCTCTGAAATTTAATTGAGATGGAAGATAATGTGAGCCACCCCTTCTGAAAATTTGACTTTTGCTACAATAAAGTTAAATAGAATTGAGAACTTTAGAAAAAGAAACTACTTTTTTTGCAATTTACTACATATTTTCCAAATTGAAATAGAAATCCCCCCCCCCTCACAAGAAAAATACTTCGGTTTTGTTTCAATTTTTTTCTACATAATACAACTTTTAATTCATTAAAAAAATTTAAAACTAAAACGCGAAAAGAGAAGAGGAGCACATCATAAAAAAGCATAACAAGTGTTTAGAAAACTAAAATAAGTACCACTGTTTTGCATCCTGAAAAATGCATTCTGCACTGAGACTAATAGATATATTTTAAAGCATCTTTTGACTGTGGGTGGTATGAAGGTAAAGGTAAAACCTTCATACCACCCACAGAGTTGACCCACAGTTATTTGACTCCTCAAAAAATAGCCATCTCCTTTTACACCATGGGAAAATGACCTTTTGCTTCTTTAAATTGCCTTAATCTTTTTTATGACCCTGGGCTCTTTTGTGCTTTTATAAAATGTCATATATTTACAGTACCATCTATGTGTCCCTTAAGTTGTCTTAAACTAGCAACAATCTAGATGTTCTGAAAACAGATGTAAACTTTTAAGGGATCCAAGGGGATGACTCTTGTTGACATTTACTTAGGTCATTTTGTCAAGAGATTTTTTCTGAGACAAACGTAAAACGTTCCAGTTAAATTCCAGTTTTTAGCTCATTTAATTGCGTCATTTAAATTAACCATTTTTAATTCAGATATAAATTTTCTGTTAGCTTTTATTTTGCTCAATTTTTGAAATTAAAATTTAACTTTAATTAAGAGTTATTAAAATTATTCGCAACTTCCTTTTTTTCATTACATAAATCGTGATATCAATAATTCTCATTCTTAATAAAAAATTTCTTTGGAAAACCAAATGTAAATTTATTTATAAGGAGGTAAGTAAATGTTTGTATTAACTCATTTAAATTTTATATTTATATACTGTTAGAATTCTTTTATAAGAATGGTAACATAACAATTGCTTTTTTTTTACGTTCGTATGTAAAATTTAATTTGTGTGGTACTTTAATTGACAATTTTACTGTTAATTGTGTGCATTGATTTTGTTCTTATTTTATATTTTTTAAATTATTAGGACCTTTAAATTTTTTTAATTGGAACTTCGAATTCTTAGGGTTTTTAACAACTTTGTTTTCATTAAAAAATGAAATGCAATCTTTATTTTGTAAACAAAAAAAAAACACATTTAATTTAATAAAAAAGCTATGACCATCAGCTTAGAAATCCGTAGCAATTAAAATTCATTGCCATGACAAACCATTAAGAATTTTTTTTTAATTAGCAAATATGCTTTGACTTTTTCTCATTTTTCTTTCATAAAAAAAACTATTACTCTTTGTGATAATTTTGTCACATATGATTACATAGCGTCATGAAAACATAGGCCAAATATTCAAGAACGAATTCTTTTCAAAATATAGCTATATTTTCTAAGGACCTGTCCATATTGGAGTAAGGCAACTTTTTGTTAATCGATGTATATAGAGAAAAAAATTCGGTATATTTTGTCAATTAGGAATTTTTTAAAATGTGGTATATGTGCCGATAGAAAAAAGTTTATAATTTCCTTCAGTTTCCATAACGCTATCAAAAAAATTTGAAACGAAAAAATAATTTTCATTTTTATAATGGTTTTGTCTTGAAAAGACCTTCCTTACGATATAGTAACCGAATTCAACAGGTTTATAATATTGGTATTTTATGATTAGCATTATATTTAGAGGAAAAGGAGGCTACTGTGGACATGGGGGACAAAAGTAGACAAAATGAATAGCTTTTTTTCCCTAGTAATATTTCCTCGGTGAGATGTCATAAATTGGTAACTTTTACGTACAATGAACCAAAAATGTACCACCCTGAATAACTTTTGATTTAACGATCGGATCTTCACGTTCTAGGACTCCATCTTCATAATTCGAGGGTATGATTTCAAATATGCAAATTAATTAGTGCACGATATTTTATTTTAAGTTACGCAATCAGACACTAAAACACACTTTCTCGGAATAAACATAACTTTTGTTCAACAAATTCGATTTTCTATCCCCCGTAATATAGGAGGTAGCTGCAATCTGGGAAATATGGTCCCAATAGTTGGGTTGGGTGAGCTATCCAAAGTTTGGACACCCAAATGTTAATTTTATTTCTTTTTTTTTTTTTGTATTTCAATACAGATCGAGAGCTTTTTAAGGGAATTGAAAAATTTTTGCACACGATTATAAAATTCTTTTATCTAAAGATAATTCCATACAAAAAATAACTTTCAGTAAATATTTATTATTTAATAATAGTCTGATGTTGATGATCATTTACGTCGCACTAGTGCTGCACAATAAGCTATTGGCGACGGTCTGGGAAACATCCCTTGAGGTTTGATCCTCTGCAGAGGGGATAAGACCCCCGCTTCGGTAGTCCGGCGACCTGCACGCGAAGTCGAGTACTTTATGGTACACCAGTTTAACAGGACCAATACCGCACACCCTCGGTCCCTACGCAGACTGATCCAAGTGGTCACCACCCGAAGCCAGGGATGCTTGACTTCGGTGATCTGCTGGGAACCGTGTCTTAACGATCAGTCCACTTCGGGACAATAATAGTCTGAAAAATTTTGAGTCGTAAATCATATAATTTTTTTTTGTATTATTTTAAAGTATCTAATTCCGCATGGAAAATACAAATTTGAGCGAAATTGGTTGATTAGTTCCTGAGAAATCGAGTCTTATAAGTACGACTTTTTTAAAATTTAATTTCTCAGGATTAATCGATTTCGCTGAAATTTTGTATTTTGCCATTTGGAAAACTTACAATGTTTTGTAATCCAATTTATATGTGAACAAATAACTTGTTTTCATAAATATATTCGCTAACATAATACATAAATAGCTAAAATGACGGTTAGAGATGGAGTACTGAAAATTTTTGCCCTAGAGCCCCGAGGGGTGAAGTTACGGCACTGGTTATGTGTTGTTTAAAATGTTGCAGCACTGAAATGCAAATAAATCAAAGTATTCACATAATGTATTTATGACATATTTTCAGAAGAAAACTTGATTTTATAAATAGAACCAGCATACATACAAAGTGAATAATGAGTGAATACAGCAAGATCGAATGGCAAAGCAATCAGAAAAAACTGCATAATGAAACTTAAACAGGAAATGTTATTGTATGTTGCTAAGGTCATCTCTCCATAATAAACTGACTGTTCATGCACATTTAAAGACATACACATTTTTTTTTATGAATGGCAAAGCAATAAGAAAAAACTACGTAATGAAACTTAAATAATAAACTTACACAGGAAATGTTATTCTATGTAGCTAAAGTCATCTTTCCATAATAAAATGACAGTTCATGCTCATTTAAAGAGATACACATTTATTTTATAAATGGCAAAGGAATCAGAAAAAACTGCACAATGAAACTTAATAGGAAACTTACACAGGAAATGTTATTCTATGTCGCTAAGGCATCTCTCCTTTATAAACTGATTGTTCATGAACATTCAAAGAGACACACATTTTTTTAAAAGCTAAATTGTAGTGTTTGATATTAGCTTTACATTTTCTAGTAATTATACTTTTAAAAAAGAATCAAATAGACCCAGAAATAGTTATTTTATTGTAATTTAATCATTTGGCAGCCAAATTAGCAAGCTATAGATGTTGGTAGATAAATTATTGTATTACATTAAAATAGCTATTTTTCAGCCTATTTCAAACAATAATTACTAGAAAACGTAAATTGAACATGAAATTAAAATACTTTAAACAAAGAAAAATACTGTTTTAAATGTGTAGAAACATGTATATTTTCAGAAGAAAATTTCATTTAAAAAACAGCATACATACAAAGTGAATACAGCGAACCCGAATTGCTAAGCAATCTGAAAAGAAAAAAAAACTGCACAGCGAAAATTAAGTAGGAAGCGGGAAATGTTATTTTATGTCAATAAGGTAATCTTTCCATTCTAAACTGACTGTTCATGCACATTTCATACCTGCCAACATTAGAGAAATAAATTAAGGGAGATTTTACTAGCAACATTTTTTAGGCTACGGGTAAAGTTTTGATGCTTCTTGCATAATCATGGAAGTCAAAAAGAGAAATTCAAAATTGGAAATATAAGCACTTAACTTAGTGAAGTAAAAAATATGTGCATAAATCTTGATCTAAAGAAGATTTTTTTAAACCATTATTATAATTACTTAAACTATTTTATTTTGTAACCGTTGTTGAACAGATGACCTGATTTTGGGTTCACGACTACTTATGTTCAACTCCATAGCCTTAGAAGTTTGAATCTGATCCAGAAGACAATGGAACAAGTATTGGGAAAAATTTGCCTTCATGGGGGACTTTTTGATGGAACTAACCCGCATTTGAGTTACATGGAGAGGAAAATCAGGAAAACCTCCGACGGTAAATCGGGCGGCAAGGAGACTGAAACCCGTGATCCATCTACCACTGAGGATATTTCACGTCAGCACTGTGGTCGGTGAAAGCTGGATTCGGAATTCATATCGACCAGTCATTGCTGGGATTCAAACCCAGTTCACCTCATTGGAAGGCAAACGCTCCATTCCCTCCCTAAGCAATCGACTTAACCATCAACATACTGCAGTACTGGCGATAGCACTATCTGTTGTCTATAAGGGAAGTATTTTTGCCATCGGTGGATATTCTATCACAAATTTCTTTAACAAATATGGGGAAATTTGAGAATATACGGATCAACAGGAGATAGTCGTAAAATACAGAAATCTTTGTTAAAAAACAGAAGACTTGGTGGGTATGACATTTAAAGAGGTACATATTTTTGAACTAAATTGTAGTGCTTTATGTTAGCTTTATGCCTCGTATTGTTTAAAATTGGAACCAAATAGACTCAGAAATAGCTAATTTATTGTAATTCAATGATTTGGCAGCCTAATTAATAGCAAGTTCTACATGATTACATTAAAGTAGCTAGCCTAATCACAATAATTATTAGAAAACATAAATTGAACATGAAAGTAAGATAATGTAGACAAAGAAAAATGCTGTTTGAAATGTGCAGGAGCAAAGCCAGTATAAAATGGGATGAGTTCTACGCATTTATACTCAATATTCAAACAATTTTTATATAACATTTAATAGATTTTCAATTAGTTTATAATCCAACTAAAAATATCAATAATAGAAACTTTTAAAAAAAAGAACAAAAAATTTGGTTTAAACCAGCCAAGCTTCAAACTCGCATAGAAAAATTTTGATAGAACTATTTTTAAGAATTGCGGATTATATTGTTTAGAATATGTTATGCACTATTTAAACAAAAAAAAACACAAGGGAAAATAATAGGGTGCAAAGCTAGATTTTTTAACAAAAATTAAGCACCTTTTAAGCACTCAAAAAATGTTTTTAACCAATTTCCAAAAAAATATATATATAGTTAGGATCTGTGCAGTAATAAAAAAAAATTTCCATCTTTTAAAGACCTTAATTTATAAACATAAAGTTCAATAAGATTCTCGAAAACTTTAGAGATGAAATAAGTAGAAATGAAAATCATACCTTTTTTTGCAATTTAAAACAACAATCAATATGGCAAGGAAAAATTCTCTTTTTAAAAAGATAGAAAATTAAGCAATTGTTACAAACCTTGAATAAAAAGAGTAACTTTAAGGGCTTTTGAAAAACATAAATCAAAAATAAGCACCTTTAAAAACACCAGGCACCCTGAATAAACCATCTTAAATTTTGGGTTGCAAACTTCAATGTTGCATTACGAAAAAAAATCATGTTTATATTAAAATTTTATTCATCTTTTAATTGTATTTAAAATACTTAAATTCTCATTATTTTAGAGAATCTAAAAACAGTTTGCTTAACTAAAATTCTATTTTTTAATTATATTGTCACTCATTATATGCTGTAACACAAAAATGACACTTTTTGAAAAACTCCACCAGCTAATTTAAATAACAAAAATCTTTGAAATTTACAATATAATTTTTTTTTAAAAATGGTTTTGGTTTGAAACAAGTTTTAATAGCTAAGTTCACAAAAGATATAGTTATTTTTTCCATCATGCACACTTTTATATAAATCACGTAAAGAAGCTATCACATTTTTATCTAAACCAATTTCATCGTTTAGATATTCGCATGTATCCTGATCAACACCCATTTGAGTTTTGAGAACATACTCAAAAGTGTAATTTCCTCTTAACTGCACAGACATAGGTATTTCATAATATCTTTTTGGCTCTGAAATGACCATAGATTCCGGCTGCCTATATGCATCACTAAATTCACATGGCATGTTATTCTCTTGAAAATTTTGCTCATCATTAACACTAGAGTTTCCATCATCAAATCTATCATCTGATTCATAATGAACTGTTTCATCAGAAGAACTTTCTTCTGTTTCAGGAATTTGAAGACGCACCTTATTATCTTGATTAAAACTAGTTTCAGCAACAGACAAACATTCATTATCCTCTTGAAAATTTCGCTCATTAGTAACACTTGAGTTTCCATCATCTAATCTATCATCTGTTTCATAATGAACTGCTTCATTCGAAGAACTTTCTTCTGCTTCAGGAATTTGAAGACGAACCTCCTCATCCTCATTAAAACTAGTGTCAGCGACAGACAAACCTCCATTATCCTCTTGAAAATTATAAAGGTTATCATTTAATGGGTAATGTGTTTCAGCTGTCATACCATTAGCATGCGTCTCACCTTCGGCAAACTTGTTATCTACAAAATAATTGTGATCATTTAATGCGTAATGTGTTTCAGCAGTCATACCATTAGCATGAGTTTCCCCTTCGCAAAGCTGGTTATCTACAAAAAAAGTGCGATCATCCAATGGGTAAAGTGTTTCAGAAGTCATATCATTAGCATGAGTCTTACCTTCACTAAGCTGGTTATCTCCAAAATAAGTTTCGGTATGTTGACAATCTTCTTGCAAATATGTTTCATTAGTAATAGATACACTCTTATCTTTTTGAAATTGATTTTCCATCTGTTGGCAATCCTCTAGTATATTTTTTTCAGATACAAGGGAGAAATTAGCATGAAAATATTTCTGACCATTTAATCCCAATTTCTCCTCTTTTGAGCTTAATCTACTAGATCTTCTAGTCTCTGTATTTGGTCGAAAATTTTCTTTATTTTTCTTTACACGCTTAGTTTTTGTCAATGTTTTATTTTTTGTCATAGTTAATGAGTTTTTCTGCAAGTCAAAAATTCTATATTTATCTTTCATATGATATTCTATTTCTTTAGGTGACAATTTTGGGATAATAAGAGAAGGAAATTTACCAACAATAGATCTAAGGGATTCATCAAAAGCATAATTTTTACCTTTCTTTTGTTTTTTTTGCTTTGATGTTTTTCTTTTTCTTTTAGGTATGGAACATCTCTTCAAGAGTACTACAGGCTGACGATGAGCTAAAATATTCTTTGCTATACCAGCTATTTTATTTTTGATAAGTATATATGTCGGCTCTTCATACAAACTTTCAGAACGTCTGTAATGATCTCGATAAAACAGAGGTATTAGTTTCAAGTCTGTTGCTTTACCGATAATTCGATGGCAAATATAAGTTTGAGCACATATTTGTGCATATTTCTTATCCTCACAATTAAAAAACACAGTGTTAATAATATTCTCCACACTTAATTCACTGGCATCAACTGATCCAAAATTTTTATGTACATTATAAACAATGTAATTATTGGGAAGATCCTGCGTTGTTTTGTGAAAATGCATTTTATATGAAAATTGAGTTTCATTGCTTCTTGCGACATCCATTTTTCTGCAAACATAAAAAATAATTAATTGAGACAAATTTTATAAAGAAAAAGTAGTTCTAAATTATTACAACAAAATACAAGAGTGTTGAAAATACATAGCTGCCAACATGGATAGGAAAAAACCCAGTAAATTTCAAAAAATAATACAAATTTCATAACAATTGTGGCAAAATGTACTAAATATTTTATACATGGTTGATTTTCATCATCATCAAGATTTTATCAGATTTTTATCATTCCGATCTGTAAATCAAGAATCAGTTTAATGTGAATCACGATTTTTATAATAATCAATGAAACCTGCAGAACTAAATTTTATTTATTAGCAGTAAAAACTAAATGTAAAAATTTTATTATAAATCATAAAAAATTAATTATCCTTCATATGTAAATTAAAAGAACAAATAGGATAACGATATTAACCTATAATAACGAAGTTAAAACATTGAACATATTTCTAAATCGATTAAACACTATATATCATTCGAAAACTATGGCTACAAAACCTAAAATTTGCTAGAAATTTCAGCTTTCAAAACATCAGAGAGATGAACAATAATCTAGCGTGAAAAATCTAGGAGAAAACAGTTTTGCATCTTCTTTAACCCCTATTGCATCTATCAGAATTTCTATAATTTTCTTCTGAAAATGTTTTTTTTACTGATTTTTTGTAAGAAAGATTAATATTAATTTAATTACTGAAAAATCAAGTACTTTTCAAGTACCCTATGGCAGAATTCAAGGACTTTTCAGGGCACTGATTTTTTTCAACAAAATTCAAGGACTTTCAAGTAATGTGGGAACCCTGTACCTTCTGACACTAGTTACAATGGACAATTACAGCACAACATTTTTATTTTCATACCTAACTTATTGGAAATTCTCTCCTGAAACCAAAAATCTGGTTGTTTTTTTCCAGCAAATGTTAATTTATTTTGTTATTAAGCATTTAAATTGCCCCAAAAGGCCTCCGTGAGTGCTGCAATCAAAAACGATCCCCGATTGGCTATGGCGTCACATGTGCCGAATGGAAACATGCTAGGCTATTTCAATGCTCTTTTAGTTTTGTTATCACATATATAGTATGAACATCCTTTGTAAATTATTAGCAAAATTTTTGTGAATTAGATTTACGGTTTTGAGAGTGTGTGCAAAATGAAATAAAGATTTTAAAACTTCAAATTATCACTAAAATGTCTGAAGAAATGATTATGCAGCTCTTTAGAGCCAATCAACATTTCTTTTAGGCTGAAATCAGTGGCATTAAAGTTCATAGAAAATACTATTTTATTCCACTTACTTTTAAATTAAAATAAGTTGCAGATTGGATAGAAATAGTACACATTTAGATATAGGATGGATGATTTTATAATTCGTTATTGCATTAAAACAAATAAATATTTTCATAAATCTAGTCCATTGAAAAATATCAGTCAATCCCTGTTACAATCTATGTGCTAATATTCAAATAATGCAATTTAATGTTGGTTCTTTTATTTATTTGTTACAAGAGTTGAAGAATTTTCTTTTTAAAGGCCATATGACACGAGGCAACCTAGTTGAAAGCAACTAGCGGTTTCGGTGAAGTTGAAACGTGTCATATGATGGTTGCCCGGTTGCTTTCAACTAACAACTGAAGTTAAAACCTTTCAACTTTAGTGGAGCAACCAGATTAGTTGAAACGTGTCATATAGTATAAAATTATAGCTTCCAAATACTTTCAACCTTAACTAGCAACTATTTAGTAAACAAAATACACGTGCTGATTCTGACACATCCTGAATTTTTATCTTTTAAATTTAAACTTGGTTTAATCTTCTAACTATGACTAGTTTTAAATGGANTTTTTTTTTTTTTTTTTTTTTTTTTTTTTTGAAATTTTTCAAGCGTATCCTTGTCTTTGGGACATAAATAACAAAGATTATGCGAATAAACTAATTCCGTATAAATTAATGTCCTCTGTGGCGATATTAAAAGTTACAAATTATTATTGAATTTTAAAAGTGAATGAAAAAAAAACTAGCATATTACTAATTACAAATGTTTAAATATTTGAAAATTCCAAATTATATAGCTTGAACGCTAAGCTTTTCAAACTCATTTTGATAGATATTTCTTTGACAGATATTTCCGAGTACCAATGAAATTTTGAAAGCAAACGAAAGAAATTATTTTGATTTTATATCACCTTTTTTTGGTTCTAGTTCTTCTTTCAGAATCTCAGCTATCAGCTCAACGCCTACCTCAAGTACATCGTCAATAATCGCTTCTATGATAATTAAAAGAGCTTATAGCAATAAACTTTATTGAAAAATATAAGTTCTGGTATTGGACTGTTATATACTATAATAGTCCAATACCAGTGCCGTTCTGGTATTGGACTATTCAGAGTTGGTTGAACAAGCGAAGGTTGTAACGTGTGATCACAAATGAGAAACCAAAAACCGGTTTCTTAACTTAGTTGCCTAGTGTCATCAGCACTTAAGTAAATACTTACTAATGCAGTTTGTCATATTTCTTTTTATTTACTATGCATTAAATATTTAAATACACATTAACGCTTATATTTATTATTTCGTGAATAAGTAAGAATTTTGTTACAGTTTACATTTTAATTCCTTTTTCTGCAATATAGTATTAACAAAGTATGGTTGTTGTTCATTTCTCTCCTTATTTTTGTAAACTATTTGTCAGTGCTTGCAATGAAGATTTCAAAAATAGTAAAATTTATACATTATACATTTTTAATTAATCAAAATAGTTGAAAAAATCTTGGGTTAAGCAGTCGGTATAGCCAAAAACATATCAACACTTTCAAGAATCTAGTTCATTGAAATATATCTGACCATCACCATAATCTAGTTATGCTTAAAATTTCACTTAATTTCTCATTTATCCACATCAATTAACTCATATTTATCCACAAAATTTCAGTGAATATCATTAAGCTAGAAATTTTTGTTTCATTAAAGCTAAAGAACAATAATAAAAAATTAACTTATACAAAATGGAAAGAAATTCTTTATATATTTATATATATA